TTCCACAACATTCATAGCTTAGGATGGGGCTGGAAAGATCAACAGCCCCAGGCCTGCCGGAACACCCAGCTCTTGGTCGCTTTGCAGAAGGCCGGAAGGGTAGTAAGGGTCCGGATCTCCACGGGATGATCGTTCCATAGGGCCGGAGTAGCTACAGAGAAGGCCCTCCCCCGGGGAGTCGCCATCCGACATTGACTGGCAGATGGATTCCGGAGGAGGCCTAGTCTGTGTAATCTTATGGGTCTCTGGGAGGTAAATGGCAGGAGGCGGTCTCTCAGGTAGAAGCAGTCTTGGTCCCGGCAAAACCCCTTTTATTTACATGTCTGTGAATTCCTTTCATTCACAGTCAGCAAGGCTTTCCGAGGAATGTTTATCCACACGCACCTTATCTCGTTTGGAGAGCTGCCAGATAACTAGTTTCCAAACGCAGGGCAAGGCAAAACTTGACAGTGTCTTATACGCACAAACAGAATTTTCCACTCTTGATATGACCGAAGGAACAAATTGTTTCCTACACAAGTCCCCTCCCCATTCGCTTTTTTGTTTCCTATGGAAGGGGCCAATCACCTCCAAACGAGTTTCACTCATTTATTTCTGCAACCGTATACATTTTCTAACCAAAATTCCCAAGGGTTCAGAGGATTGCCTTTTTGTTTTTTTAAACTTGAGCAGTTAGGTTTGCTTATTTAATGAATTTATTTGCTGCCCATGTAGCAAATGACTCTGAGCAGTAGCCTAGAGGTGGAGCTCTTGCCTGACAATCAGGAGGCTGAGAGTTCGATCCTAGGTAGAGGCAGGTATTTCTCTAGGCATATTGAGATTATATCTGATGAATATCACTCTCCCATTGGCAACAGGGAAGGGCATCCAGCCAGTAAACCGCTCCATTCAGTTGCCCAGACTCCACCTTGCAAGGGATTATGGGGTCATTAAAAGACAATGATGATAGCAAATGACTCTGAATGGCCTTTGTTTGGGTAGCATGTACATTTTTCTAATGCTTCTATGGCATTTTCACAATCTCATTTCTGCCCTTTTTCTAGGTGAGGAAGATGCCACGGAGACGTACTACATTTGGCTTCACAAAGATAAAATGGAGCGCTGCCCTTCATGTGGGGCCCATTTCAAACTGGTTCCCTGCGAGTTGCCCTGAATGGTTGCCAAACCCGAATTCTTAGTTTTAGGGCGACACGGGCGTGAGCCAGAAATCTTGAATTAAGTTATGTGGTCCTGTATTTCTTACAGCTTAATAAAAGTCTTTTGATCTGTTGTGTAAAACACATCTTTGGCATCCTGGGCTGGTTTTTAAAAATTGCATTGAAATTAAAAGAGCTTTGACTAAGGATATTTGCTATTTCAAGGCAAAAAAGCTGAATCGTTTCCCTGAAATTTTCTTCTGGAATTATGTGTACACATGGACAGAAATGCCATGGCTAATGTGGGATCTTTGTCTCAGTGGAACTCCGATTGCCAAACTAGTTGCCAATTAAGTTTTTGGCAGCAGTTCAGGGAAGATAAAGGTGGGTGTTTATCAGCCTTATCCCGAAGGACTTTGGCTGCCTACTGTAGGACTCTTTACAACTATTGGGGACTCATTACGGGCTGTGAATTGTTGAAATAAAAAAGGGGCTTTGGACCTAATTGTGTGCTTTTTATTGTTATCAGGAAGCCTAGGTCAGAACAGTGACAAGTCCCAGAAAGGTCTACAGTATTTGATTTGTTGTCACATTTAAGGCATGTTACGCGACTTAAAATCCATCCATGAAAAATAGTGTGGACTATTCAAAACTTTTAAAATGAGATTCCTTTGAGAAGCAGGAAGGTTCACGTGGACACAATTCTGGCACTTGGCAACAGGATCGCATTTATAATCAGTGTGTAGCATCCTGCAGTAATTGCGATTTGTGAGCCTTTTTTTGCAGATTTCTCCCCCCCCCCCAAAAAAACCAGCTATTGGGGAAGCTGTAAAATCAGGCTCACGTGAAGCCCAGAATGACAGAAAATGAAAATTATGGCCCCAATTGTGCTTGTTAAGTGAAGGACCACTTGCAATTTAATGCTGTTCTAATCCAAAGTCACATCCAGGGGAATGGGGTGCACAAGTAACCCTAAGTCCAAATACCTATTAGCATTGGGGAACAACTGCTATACCGAAGGTGGTTTCTTAATGGCATTTTCCATCATGTTGGGGCTAGAGGCTTGCAGAAATTCTTAGTTCAGGGGTACCCTGGTAAAGGGCTGGTAGCCAGCTCTCTGGGGCTGTTGCTATCAAATTTTTGTCCATGTGCTGCATGAATCCCAAATTTCCTTTGGCCAATTAACTCCTGCCAGCAACCAGAGGCATTCAAGGAGAATGAAAGCAGCACCCTAAATTCCTTGAGTATTAGGATTGCAGATCCAAAGGCGCAGTGGTTAGAATGCAGTACTGCAGGCTACTTCTGCTGGCTGCCCTTTGCCTGCAATTTGGCAGTTTGAATCTTGTTAGACTCAAGGTTGACTCAGCCTTCTATCCTTCCGAGATAGGTCAAAGGAGGACCCAGATTGTTGGGGGCAAGAGGCTGACTTTCTAAACTGCTTAGAGAGGGTTGTAAAGCACTATGAAGTGGTAGAGGCATCGGTGAATAGTGGTTAGAATGTAGTATTGCAGACTGACTCTGCCTACTGCCAGCAGTTCGATCCTGACCAGCTCAAGGTTGACTCAGCCTTCCATCCTTCCAAGGTGGGTCAAAGGAGGACCCAGATTGTTGGGGGCAAGAGGCTGACTCTAAACCACTTAAAGGAGGCTGTAAAGCACCGTGAAGCGGGATATAAGTCTAAAGTGCTATTGCTATTGTTTGAGTGCACGACATTGCCTTTGTCATACTGAGAAAAACTAGGGGCCAACTGATGAATCTTCAGCTAGTACTTTATTCTCTTAGCATTTACTCTAATTCAGTCCTACTACCCTCTCTTAATATGGAGATTCACTAACCATATTTATCCATAACTGCATTTCCAAAAAGCGCATCTGCTAGAAACTAAATAACTGAAATAGTTGCTTTGACATGCATTTATTGATATATTTGCCGTTTCCACCCTACCCACCCCCAGTAAATGGGAGATGGTCACACAGACAACTCTGCTTTGTAGCTGCTATATATCCAGCCCTAAGTAAACTACTTTTTCTTACCTGTTTTCACATCACTGAACTATTCCAGACACAGCTCACCTGAAGCCAGACAGCACAAAACCTTTTAAAGTACTTAAATCATTTTTTTTAACTTTCTTTCCAAAAAGGAACTTCCAAACAAACAGAGTATGGTTATTTGCTAATAAGGGCAGAATAACCAAGAAGAAAAGTGCAATTAGTATACTGGGACACTACTCTGAAGCTAGAAGGGCTCTTCAAATGCTACCATCCTCAACATTGGTTTTTCTGAAATTTAAATCCATTATTTGATACCCTGCAATCAGGAGTCACATAGGACAAAGCCATGATCTAATTCAATTTTAAGAGAAGCAGAATTTTAATTTCCAAAATTCCCCAGCCAGCCATGCAGGGGGAATTCTGGGAGTTGAAATCCACATGTCACCAAGGCTGAATAACACTTGTCTAATTTCACACGTTTTTGAAGTGACTACAGCTGAGCTGACCAACCAAGAAATGACAGCAGTGAATGTGACCTAGTGTGCAAGAGGTTGTGAACTCTGTTGCAGCATTTGGACAGCCACTGCGGAAATGGGGACGGAGGAGACAGACTTCAGATTCCATCTCTTGTCTTCGCTGTGAACAGCATCACAAAATCCTTAGGGAATTGTTTAATTAATCCACCAGCTACACCCTCTCTCTTTCAGGGATTTGCATCAACACTTCACGTGGCCAAATCATAGTTTGGTAAAAGACGAATCAAGGCGGACTAGAATTATGTTCTGAAAAGTACAACCTAAGAGCTTCCTTAGCCCAACCTTTTCCATGCAGCGCACCCCAAAAGAAGGGTCACCCCAATTCCTGAAAATTTTTAGGAGTTCTAACATGCTCCATGAGCACTGAATGCCGAAGGAAGGATCTAGTCCTGTGATGGCGAACCTATGGCATGCAGAGCCCTCTCTGTGGGTACCTCTGCTGTCACCAACTGCTCTTCTGGTTTATGGTGCACATCCACTATCTGGTTTTTGTGGGTCCCAGAGCACCTGAAAACGGCCTCAACGACAACTGTTTTAGGCAATTTTTTTAACTGCTTTTGGGCCTTTTCAGGCAGTTTTTGGCCCCCCAAAGACTGAAAATTGGTCTGAAAATGGCCCCCAAACCAGCCTGAAAACGCCCAAAAGATGCTCCAAAAACAGACATGCGTATGTCAGCTAGCTGGTGTTTGGGTTCCCAGCACTCCGGCGCATGTTCCGATTTTGGCACTCAGTACCAAAAAGGTTCGCCATGCCTGGTCTAGTCCCAGCATCTGAAAAGGCAGCATCACAATCAGGATCGTGCCTCCTTCCGCCGTGAACAGAGCCACTCCAAACGCAGGCCAAGCCACTGGCGGTTAATTTATAATTATTAGTATAATGAATTTACAAAATAAAAATACAGGCAACTGTGTTAAATTATTGTACATTGCAGCCCAGACAGGTGGATCTCATGGGGAAAGGATGGTGGGAGAGGGAGCAGAGAGGGGTGGGGTGGGGAGAAGAGGGGCACTTCTGCCTCCAATTTGGTTTAGTTACTGTAGAGGGGCAACCAGGAGAAGCCGACAGAGGTACATACGTATTTTAAGGAAACAGAAGAGAGTGTTTCTTTTAAATAAATTCATTTGCCTACATATTAAAAAAAAAAAAACGCTGAATGCTTTTCCCAGCCAGAGGCTAAGGCCATGATTTGCAACACAGCCGAAGTAGTGAAGAGGGGAGCCGGTCCTCTTAGCTGCTGGGCAGTTTGGGTAAATATTGGAAACCTCCTCCTCCCCCCTTTCACCAACACAAACACCCCCCCTCCCCATCAGCTAGCAAAACCAGACACGCTTCCAACTGGTCTCAGTTAATACCGTTTGAATTCTGGACTCTGAGCTGAGGCTATCCAGCCCCCCTGCCCAAAGGCAGTGAGCAAAGGGGGCACCACGCGGTGCAAATTGGGGTGGGGGAAACAGGGTTTGTCCTGCAAAGCCTGGGAAACAACTCGTGATGGCTAACCTATGGCATGCGTAGCCAAAGTGGCACTTAAAGTCATGTCGCCTGGCACACGTGCTCTTGCCTCTTTATCTTCTGGGTTTCTGGTGTGTATGTGCGCACAACGATCAGCTGTCCTTCACGTACACAGCAGTGACGAAAACTGGTGTGCGCATGCAGGCCAGCCAGCTGATTGTTGGGGGTGCATGCACGCCAGAACTCAGAAGTTCAGCTTTTCCGGACCACGATCCTTTCGCGTGTACAGCAGTACCAAAAACCGGCATGCACATTTGCACCAGCCAGCTGATTGTCGGGGCTGCATGTGCATAAGAGCCCGGAAAGTTCGGCTTTTCTGGAGTGCAGCCCCGGGGAGAGCACATGGGTGCGCACGTGATATTTTCACACAGGTGCTCCGCACCGAAAAGCTTCGCCACCACTGTCTTAGGCTGTTCAGTAGAGGCCTGGAGAGGGCGGCGCAGAGGGGGTTTCAATTGAAACCCACACGTTTGGGTGGGGGCCCCATTTGGGAAAGCTGGGCTAGGAGACAGGAACTGGATAGAGAGCGGGCAGCTTTTGTACACAGGTGAAGGCACCCCCAACGCCTCCAAAAGAGACACGGCCATTTGCAATGGACAGCCACAAGATTTGGGGGGAAGGGAGGGGGGAGCACATCTCAAGGTATCAAGAGCCAAAGCAGACCTGAGGGGTGGAAAAAAAGACAATATCGCGTAGAGTGGGCTCAGGATAGGTTGGTCTATTTCTTAGGTCAGTCTTAAAATGTTCCAGGTTCCTGCACCATGCTTGTTAAGCTTCCTCCTCCTCCTTCTCCCAGCAATCACCTGAACTCCCCCCACCCCAGCTCAAGCTCAAGGGAGACTCCCCCACCTCCAAGGATGGGATGCTTCTGCTCCTACAAACCTGCAAGGCAGCCCTTTCCCATCTCCTTAGTTAGCTTAACCAGACCCAGATTGAATTCTCCATATCCTTTCCCACTACTTGAAGCCATGTTCAGAAGGACGGGGTGGGAAGGATGATGCTGAGAAGCTGCCTACCTCCTCTCTGGCTTGGCTTATGCCAGAGGTCCCCAAATTTGGCCACTTTAAGACTTGTGGACTTCAACTCCCAGAATTCTCCAGCATAGCTGGCTGAGAATTCTGGGAGTTGAAGTCCACAAGTCTTAAAATGGCCAAGTTTGGGGACCTCTGGCTTATCCCTTCTCCAACTTGGCTTAGGCCATCCCTGGAGCTGAGCCCACACCCCCAAGGGGAGGCCGATCGGAGGAAAGACGTGATTCTCGACCCTTGCCCTATTCTGCCAGGGGCATTTCAAACACCCCTCTGCACTCAAGTCTCCTATTTCTTCAATGTCAGGACGGGGGCTGGAATGGGGGAAAGGGGCCTCCGAGGGGGAAGAAGCTGGGCTTAGGCTGAGGCCCCCATTGCTCTGCTCTCTCACAGACCCCTTGGTTAGTCCTCAGGGTGATGAGAGGGCCGGAGCATTTAAGGGGGCGGGGGGCAGGCTGAAGAATGTTTTTGATATCCTTTCCTTCCCCAGAGATCTGGGAGTCCCTGGTAGAGTTGGCAAGAGGTGGCAAGCAGGGCAGTAGCTGTCAGGTGCCGTCTTCCCTAAGAACTTTCTGACTTGGGGGGGGAGGGTACTGGAGGCATGGGCATGATGCCTGGCTCCTCCGGAGAGGCGTCGAAGGTGCAGATGGCGAGGAAGGGGTGGTTGTGGTCAGGGTTAACTCCCTTGCCAAGAGGGCAGCCTTCTTCCTTCCTGGGAGCCCAAGGCAAGTGGCTGGGGCAAAGCGAATGGGTTGCTTGGGAGGGGATCGGAAGGTGGGAAGGGGCTTCCAGTCCCTCCCAAGTCAAGGGCGAGGACCCTTTCCCTACCCCCACCCCCCAAACAAGGCCTCAAAAGAGCAACACCTCCTCCCAGGGAGGTGTGTGCTAGCAACATGCATGTAAGGGTACTAAGAGAGGGAAGTGGGGAGGGAAAGGAAGGAAAGAAGGAAAAGGGAAGGAAGGAAAAGCAGGAAGGAAGAAAGTAAAGAGGAGGGAGGTATGGAAGGAAGGAAGGAAAGAAAAGGTGAAGGAAAGGAAAGGTGAAGGAAAGAAAGAAAAGGGGAAGAAAAAAGGTGAAAGGAGGAAGGAGTGAAAGGAGGAAGGAAGGAAAAAAGAAAGGGGGAAGAAAGAAAAGGGAAGGAAGGAAAGAAAAGGGGAAGGAAGGAAAGAAAGAAAAAGGGAAGGAAGGAAAGAAAAGGGGAAGGAAGGAAAGAAAGAAAAGAGGAAGGAAGGAAGGAAAGAAAGAAAAGGGGAAGGAAGGAAGGAAGCAGCCCTGGACAAGAAAAGATCATGAGGGAAGAGAGACGACCCCAGCTGTGGCTTCCTCCTGCTGCCACCCCTCCCTGCCCTAGAAAGTCTTTCGATGAATGGCCCTGGAGCCGTCTTCCTCGTATTCCTTCTTGGAGACCCACATCTTCTTGAAGGTGTCCAGCGAGGCCAGGATGGAGCCCCTGGGAGAGAAGACAGAGGAGGGTCATGGAGCCGGCCTATTGTCTTGGTCAAATAAGATAGGTCAGCGGTCTCTAACCGTGGCAACTTTAAGACTTGTGCACTTCAACTCCTAGAATTCCTCAGCCACGATATGAATAAAAGGCCGACCCAAATGCTAAGTTTATTTCTTAGCAGGAAGGAGGAGCTTGTTTGTTTGTTTTTAAAAATGCTAAAATTAGGTTTTGCCACTCTCCTCTCTCTCTCTCTCTACATTTATTTTGAATCAATATCTGCTCCTTACAAAAATTCAAAATTCAGATTCTGCTGTCAGCTCCTCCAGGCTCAATGAGAGCCAATTCTGACAGCAATCTTAGGTTTGGCAATGACAACAAAAAGTAAAAGGTCTTGGCTTAACTTGAGGACAACCCAGACTGCATTCTTCTAGTGCTCAAGTCTTTACAACCCCAATCCAGTTTATTCCTCTTCCCCGATTTGAGAGTCTCTGGTTTAAGGTGTTGTGTGAACTCATCCGACCGTGGTTTGTCTAGAAGACAGGATTCACAAACTGAACCATGAACGTGGTTTGCTGACTAATTAAGCACAACGGCCGAATTTGCAAAGGGCACTAAATGAAAAATCAAATAAACCACATTCCTGTGCAGGAAAGCTAAGTCATTATAAAACATGGCTACTATACTGGGGCTCCTGGTGGAAACCGCCTAGGGCAGTGATGTCAAACCTTTTAGACACCGAGTGTCCAAACTATGCATGCACACCTGCCCAAACTGAAAGGTGTACCCGCGCATGAATGTGCACAGGCGCAGACATGCACACAGGCATGCACAAACACATGCATGTACGGGCATGAATACATGCGCATCAGAGACCCGAGGCTACTTGGTGGATGGGTGGCGGGCATGCCAACACCCGCAGCAGGCAAGAGGTAGGATTTTTTTCTTTCGTGCGCTTCCATTTCATCGTTTGCAGGGAAACAGAAGCTCACGAAAGAAACGCCACGCAGATCTGACCTGGGGCATCGGCGTGCATGCCAGCAGAGAGGGCTATGCGTGCCTCCTTTGGCACGCGTGCCATAGGTTTGCGATCATGGGCCTAGGGAGAGGAAGGGGTACATTCTTACCCAATCCACGTTGAGTATAATCTCTCCTGAGGAGCCGAAATCTGGAAAGAAGAACACAGAAGCATGCTTAGACAGAGGGAGAGAATCAAGATCAAGTGAAGGATTAATATCAATTTATAAGGCCTTGGTAAGGTCACACTTGGAACATGGCATTCAGATTTTATCGCCACGATGTAGAAAAGTTTTTTTTTTTAGTTTTTAGTTTAGTTTTATTTGTCATTTATAGGCCGCCCTTTTCCCTGAGGGGACTCAGGGCGGCTTACAATTCGTGGGAAGGAGTGCAAGACAAAACATAAAATATGTGAATAAAATAAAATAAANTTATTCTATTCTATTCATTGTTCTACTCTACTCATTAGTAGACTACTATTTTATTCTATTCTACTCCACTATTCTATTCATTATTATTCTATTCTACTCATTATTCTATTTTATTCTATTCTACTCATTATTCTATTCTATTTACTTTTATTACAAAGCAATTTATTTTTCTCCTTCAGCTCAGTCCTGTTCCATTTTCTGAGACAACCTGGAGAAATGTTTGCAATTTTGCGGGTGACATTACAAGGGAACCTCAGCAGAAAACAAGGCCAGGTGAAGGAAAACTGAGAATAACCTGGGCGGAGGGGGGGGCGCTACCCAAATTCAGAGACCCTCCAGAGCAGGGGTCTCCAACCTTGGCAACTTTACGACTTGTGGACCAACTCCCAGAATTCTGGGAGTTGAAGTCCACAAGTCGTAAAGTTGCCAAGGTTGGAGACCCCTGCTCCAGAGGGGAGTCTAGAGGGAGCAGGCAGTGCTAACCCTTCGCCCAATTAACGGGCACCCAAACTCCCCACGTTTCAAACTTTCCTGCCTTTTCCCTCATAAGGGAACCAGGGCAAAGCCCGATGGGCAGGCCCACATCGACCACGCCTTCCGTGCGCGGCGCACCGGAAAGAGCTAGGCGGCCATCTTGGTTCAGAACTGAGGAGGAGACGCACGTGACCGGAACTTCCTGCCCGCCAAGGAGGAAGTGGTGTCTCTGAGGCGGCCGCAGCTCGAAGGGTGGCTATGGCGTCAAGGTTACTGCGGGTCTCTGGAACCTGGCGGGCTCTCCGGGTGGGGACGGCTGCCCTGGGAAAAGGGCCGGGGGCCCTGGCGGCGGGCTCTCGCGATGCCAGCTCTGGAGGTCAGCTTTTCTCCGGGGGGAGGGGAACGTCCTTTCTCCCAAGCAAAGACTACCCTGCCCATCATCCCCCCACCCGGGATGGAGGGAAGTGACTGCTTGAAGCCGTGGGGGTTGGGGAGTGTAAGTGCTTCAGGTTGGGTAAAAGAGTGTTGCTGAGGCGCCTTTCGTAACTGAAAGCAAACCAAAAATTATCTGAATTTCTCTCTGTGTGCATATATACATACGTGGGTATATATATGTGTGTGTGTGTGTGTGTGTGTGTGTGTGTGTGTGTGTGTGTGTGTGTGTGTGTGT